AAGAGGACTGAAATAATACAAAGTATTAATAGAATAAATTAAAATTAAATTAGAAATGACCAACAGAAAAAAGTAGAAAACTCAAAATTACGTGGAAACCAAATAACATACTCCTAAATAATTAATGGATTAAATAAATAATCAAAAGGAAAATCAGAAAATACTTTGAGATGAATGAAAATGAAGATATAACATATTGAAACTTATGAGATGCTGCAAAAGCAGTGGTTAGAGGTAAATTTATAGGTATAAACATGCCTGTATTGAAAAAGGAAGATCTCAATTCAATAACCTAAACTTCAACCTAAGACACTAGAAAAAGAAAAGCAAACTAAACTCAAAGCAAGCAGAAAGAAGTAAATAAAGATTAGAGTGGCAAGAAATAAAACAGACAACAGAAAACAGTAGAGAACAATCAATAAAACCAAAAGTTAGTTTTTTGAAAAGGTCAACAAAATTATAGCTATATTGACCAAGAAAAACAAGTGAGAAGACTCAAATTACAAAGATCAGAAATAAAAGTGTGGACATTATTATTGACCTTATAGAAATAAAAGGATTTAGAATACTATAATTGTATGCTAATAAATTAGATGAAATAGACAAATTCCTAGAAAGACACAAACTACCAAACTCACTCAAGAAGAAATAGATAATCTGAATATGTCTATAACAAGTAAAGAGACTGAAATTAGTAATTAAAAAACCACCCACAAAGAAAAGCCCAGGCAAGATGGTTTCACGGTAGAATATTACAAAACATTTAAAGACAACTTACTACCAATTCTTCATAAACTCTTCCATAAAGTAGGAGAGAGGAAATACTTTTAAACCATTCTATGAGGTTAGTATTAACTGGAGACCCAAACCAGACAAAGACAACACAAAAAACTACAGACCAATATCTTTAATGAATATGGACACAAAAATCCTCAATGAAATACCAGCAAACCAAGTCCAGCAACAAATAAAAATAACATAATATTTATATGACCATAAAAAGAATTATTTACTATGTATTTACCTCAGGAACACAAAGTTGGTTTAACATCCAAAAATCAATTAATGTGATACACCATATTAATAGAATAACAAACAAAAACCACATGATCATCTCCATTGATACACAAAGAACATTTGACAAAATCTAATACCTTTTCATGATTTAATAAAAAACATTTCACAAACTAGGAATAGAACAGAACCGCCTCAACCCAACAAAGAACATCTATGAAAAACCTACAGCTAACATCAGACTTAATAGTGAAAGACTACATTTTTCTCCCTAAAAAAAACATTCTATGATAAAGACATCTGCACCTGAATGTTTATGGCAGCACAATTCACTATTGCAAGGATGTGGAAACAACCCAAGTGCCCGTCAATTAATGAATGGATTATTAAAACTTGGTATAAGTATACAATGGAAGATTACTCAATCATAAGGAACAACAGTGATCTAGCATCTCTTATACTTTCCTGGATTAAACTTAAGCCCATTATCCAAAGAGAGGTACCACAAGATCGGAAGAATGGGCTCCACTTGTACTCGCCATCGAATTGGTACTAACTGATGAACGCTAGGGTGCTCACATGGCAGAAATACTCTCCAGGGATTATGGGGATGGGGGGGGTTAAACCTGCAACTAAGGGACACAGGGAGCATTGTAAGGGGGAAGGGCATGCCCCTAACCTTTGCTTGGGTGAGGCAAAGACATAAAGTGTAACC